TGGCAGTGATGCATCATAAAGTCCTACTGTTACCAACTCTGTTTTTCCAGTTTCACTCTTCTGCCAGTTAACCAACTCGTAAATCGCCACAGGATCCCCATTAGCATTAAATGACACATCATAACCATTTTGGGAAAAATGTACTTTCTTCAGCTCTGCTAAGATCTGTATGTTAGAAAGGAATGGAAGGCAGAGAAAAGATATGCCAAAATATTAGACTAATATTTGATTTCATGAAGAATACATTAGGGGTAACATAAGAAACTATATTAGCATAAACATTTGAGCTGACCTGTTTGGACTCTAACTTGTTTAGTTTGTCACACTTAGCTATGCCATTGGTTCTCTGACACACTGTATTATGGATGACATGTGCTATTGCATACACAGCCTTGTACACCATGTTAGTAATTCTGAGCTGAGATGTGTCAGTATACGGGATTTGAAGATTCTGTATGTCTTCAGTTCCATCACATATCTTCTTGTCAACAACAGGACCTAAACAATAGAGGACACAGGGACTGTTTCATCACTGCAAGATTTTAAATTTCATTAATGCATTTTCATTTGTCATGTATTTACCAAATCATATTAATATAAAATTCCTTAATAGACAACAAATCACATTTTTAAAATGGGACAAAATCACTACATTAACTGAGTGCCTAAACCTCACCCCAGAGATCAGAACATAAAGAATTAATAAAAAAAATATTTAACCTTATATTTGAGCAAAACAAAAGTTGCTAAAGATCAAAAGGATTTTCTCACTTTTTTTCATTTTGCAGTTGAACGATTCCTCCCAGAACTCAGTAAGCATAGGGGATGCAGCTACTTGAGAGGAAGATAAATTAAGCAGGAAATCTCTGAAACCGGGGATTACAGACTTCTGAATCCCAAATCCAATGGCCCCAGCACAGAAATTAAACCTTCTAAATTCTGAATCAGTTATCCATGACTCACTGCCTATCCACTGGCGAGGTGGGGAAGGCTCACGTGAAAGCTCCTCCAACAGAATTTTCATGTCACCAGAAGCAACAAATGCCACAATAACCACTGCTGTAGACCTTAAGAAAGAATGCAATACATTAAGAAATTTCTTGTAACTTTTGTTAATCCAGTATTAATTTAACTTTCTTAATCTAATAGACAGCAGTAAATAAAACACAAAACAATAAGCAGAACTAATTCAATGGATGGATGGATTTCTTTAAGCAAATCTCAATCTAAGCAAAACCTGTCATGTAGAGACCTGCGGATAACACTTGCTACTTCTTGGATCCTGCTATGTGGGTGAGTCCGATAGAAAGATACAGAATATTCCACACAGATTCCCTCTTTTTGTGCTGCTTCTAGAAAAGATGCCATGCCACTATTTCCATAATCTGAATCCGAACGAACAGCACCTATCCAAGTCCAGCCAAAGTG